ATAAGTTAACTAATATATTTATCGTTGTAAATATATCGCAATTTGAACAGTTAAAATAGTTTTTTTATACATTTTACATTAAGAGTGTTTAATTTAAAATGTTTCAGATGCGTAAACTACGTAAAATACTCACCTATTAACTTGGCAATAAATAGATTAAAAATAAGTTAAAAAGTATATTAAAAATGATTTAACTGATGTATTTCGCGTTGTTAGCCGTAAAAAGTGGTTTCCTTAACGTGTAAACTACAGACAATACTTAGCTTTGAAAGTATGAATATTTTTTACACAGGCGAAACTCGAAGACCCATCAATATAGTATAGTCAATCGTTCACACCTACGCATGCGTAAAAGTTTGTTACGCCCTCGGTGCGGGTTCGATTTTTGCTCGTGTCATAAATGATATTTTAATTCGTCAATAAAGATATCATAATATCATATCATATCACGGGAAGATTATAAATAATATTGATAAAAATAATTCACATGGTAGATTAAAAGTTCGATAATCGTTGTCAAGTGTAAGGAATTTACACTGTGAATTGTTATAATATTAATCAGTCGCGTTTTGTTATGGTATTACTAACCACAAACGATCTGTATCACGTGGTTTTCAATGAGCTAGTTTGAGAGTTAGGGCTCGTTGATATAACGGTAGCTAATAATTCCATCCACCGAGTGACCCTAAGTTTAATAATTTTGAAACATGCTAGACTTTGTTTGGATCTAGATTTCAAACGGGTGGTAGTACGGAATAAACATAGTTCACAAAAGCCCTTAAGGTAAAACAGACATAGATAAACGTCCGCCTGACATTTATATATATATATAATGGGTTTGTCGGTCTAATTGAAATCATTTAGATACCTATACCTATCTAGATAACGGAAATGCTAAAAATGAATTTAAAAAAAACGCATCAAATAGCCAATAATAATCGGGTCGCGAGTTGAATTCCCCGCCGGGTCCAATATGGTATCTTATTAATTCTTGATTTTACTGAAACATGGTGAACTTCGTTGTGAACTGGAACCATCTATTTAATACATTTGACAAAATTCCGTTCGGATCACGAAGCACCGTCCACAGCAGAAAGGTCTACCTAATCCTAAGGCTCAAGAGATAATCGGGTCCTCATCTTCTCTTTTAGCATAGCTTTAATTAAACGAACTTCCAAAGTTATAAATAACAACAAAAACGTTAAAAATCCTTTTCGTCTTCGCTTATATCTTCCCCTATCAGCCCCTAAGTTCCGGGGCCCTGGTGCACTGCACCACCTGGCCCTCTGATAGCTACGCCACTGGACTCCACAGATGGAAAAGCGCGTTTCGCTTTCAGTCTGTGCATGAATCTGCCAAAGTAGGTCGCGTGCATCATATTAAAATGTTTTGCCTGCTATTTCATCTTCCATCAAGTCGAGCTGTATGTCTATCGTATAAAAATCTCACTTTTATTTAGAGATATTAGTTCATCAGCGACCGGGAACCGTTTCTAAGTAAAAGTGTGAGTGTTTTTACATAAGCGGAACCGATTGTACATACGGGGAAATGCAGCTGAGTTAATCATGCAATCAGTAATCAGTAATCATCTAATTAGTGATACGTACTAACATTTACATATGTATGTTTGTAATGTAACAATTTTACGTTTATCTATACTAATATATAAAGCTGAAGAGTTTGTTTGTTTGAACGCGCTAATCTCTGGTGGGGATTAAACAAATAAAACATCGCTCTGTGACTAATGTCCATAATCCTGGGGTAGTACAAATTTAATTAAAACACTTTTACGGTTTTAAAACGGTTTAAAAACGCAAAACATGCAAAACGATAGACCGTAGTTAAAAAAATTAACAAAGTTAATTGCGCGTTTAAATCCGTTTAAAAGTGCTTTAAAACGCAACAATATTTTATTATTTATTTATTCATTCAAATGAATCACAGAGTTAATTAATTTTGTGATGATCATATTTAGTTTATTTTACTATTACATCATAATTTAATCATCCATTGAAATAACCTTGTACTCCATATGGATGAAAAATTCTAGAACTTACTTAGTTACGCGCCTAAATTATCAATTTTATTTTATTTAAGCTGGTAAGCGATCGCTATTTAATAAATAGGTAACGTAGATTTAAAGATAGTTATTTATTTTATACAAGGTTTTACACATTTAATACACATCGACTAAAACTATACAAACAGTTGTTGTATAAAGATTTACCTATTTTAATCACAATAAACTTTGTCTTATAGACTCACTATATATAAAAAAGTGTAGTACAGTATATCTAAAGAGTATGTGATACTAAAAACATATGTCCTACTTGTAAGTGGATGTATATTTAATTTTTTTAATGTGTTCCCAAACTAGGCAAGCCTGTATAAGATATTATAGATAGTAACAAAAACAATAAAAAGTTTTATGGATTGAAAACTTTAACGGTTTCAAACTGCGGCCCGACGTTTTGGATGTTTTGTACCACATTGCCAGCGGTTTAAAATGCGAAATATATAGGGTAACAATTACATATAACGGCTGCTGCAAGGCATCCTGAAAAGTGGGACCGCAGTTAAATACAAGTTAACTTCGCTAACATATGATTCGCGTTTTAAACCGTTTAAATTGTTTTACTTAAATGTGTAAACTACAGACAGTACTCAAGAAAGAGTGCTTAAGTTTTTATTACACATACAATATTGCTCTGCAGTGATACAGACATTGTCAAGTTACATATTATATATGTACCTACATATGTGCAGCCATTGTTAGCTGATCTCAATGTATTACCAAATAGCATGTGACTAACCACATCACACTGCTAATAGGTGTAGCCTTCAGCTATCTACACAAATATTATAAAGCTGAAGAGATTGGTTGTTTGAACGCGCGGATCTCTGGAACTACTGGTTCGAATTGAAAAATTCCATAGTTTTGGATGGATGATGATGACGGTACTATATAGATAAAAAAATGCACTCAGGCAGGTCTTGAATTTGAACCGGTGCTCGGTGGCTCAATTGGTTAGAGCCATAGCAAGGAACGCTGACGATGCCGATTCAAGTCATGCCCGAGTCAAAAACATTTTCAATTTATTTTCGTATTTCAATTTGAAAAGATTACATTTTTATTAATTATTTATAATTTCTATTTAACTTTATATTAATTATTTTTATTGTAATCACATTTCTTTCTTTGTACTGAATGAATGGCAAATAAAGAGATTTACCTATTATTATAAAAATAAATTGTGTAAGGCTTCCACGGCCATCGTTCAGCATATCATTCTCTTTCGGGCTGTTCGGCCGATGTGGAGATACATCTCCTGATGATGCCGTCCACACGTGATGGCGAAACGTCGAGAACCTCTTCTCGCTCACATCGGCCGAACAGCCCGAAAGACAATGATATGGTATTATAAAAATATTGGATCCGATGGGGATCGTACTCACGACTCGTTGTTACCAAGCTACCATTACAGTAACGAGTATATTATATTAGTACATGACTAAACCGCTACTGATCACCTAATCGCGAGGATTTAACAAATAAACACAGTATCTTCCTCAAGTGGCTTACATAACTGCATATAACACTGAAGGTCGTAGTGCGGAAAAGTTATTCATTCACGTCAATATTTCAATGACTGTTTTTACGAGGTTTTATTCGTGTTAGAGAAATATTATGATAGAGTAGGATAGACAAGCAAGTTCACCTTAATATTCCAAGCATACAAGAGCTAAACGATCGCTGTCGACCTATTTTGGCTGAGAATATTTGGAAATCCACAGGCTGAAACCAAAACGCGATGAAACTTAACTTCGACTGTGGACGTTCGGAACCCGGATGGAATGAAATATTTCAGAACGAGACTTCAAAGCTAATTGCAGTGTGTAAATAAACGTAGGTTACATTACAATCGACTTATGACGTCATCGACTTAGTCAAAATAAAGCTTTAATTAATTTCTGTTAAAAATGGACATGCCTAATTTTAATAAAATTAATAGTAAAAAGAAACCCAGGTCCAAATAGGAAAGTCATCAATTAATATAATATATGTAGTATAATATCTATACAAAATATCACAGTAGTTTACTTCAAACGCTAAACAGGCGAACACATTTTTGTGTTCGCTTCTCGGATCGGTTTTATTAAAGGCAAGTAGATAACCAGGCATCTGCGCCCTGCCCGATCGAAACTATCTATTATTTCACCGGGATTCGAACCCAGGACCTCTCGCATTAAAGGCAAGATGTATAACTACTTACTTACGGAGGTGGTCGTTTGTAATATTAACGCCTACATAAAGGGAGCGAGCAACTCTATAAGAGAAATCTTATCAATATTTATTACATATATACATACAATATTTATTATGGACTATACTAGACTAGACTGCCTTGTTGATTTAGTACACTCGACAGCATATTACGAAGTTCCGAGGTTCAAATCCTGGGTCTGGTTTTTTTCAGTAAATTTTTAATTTAAGTTAACGGTTTGGAAGCTTTGGCGGTACTCTTCTAATTTAGTGCCACTGGTGGTATAAGCTTTCCAAAATTCGTAGTGGAAATAAGATCTCGCATTTTGAGCTCTCTTTGTGCCCAGTATTGGCACATAATGGATTAAATGGAGAACCTCGCAACTAGTAACGTTGAAGGCGATTAAAATACTAAACAAATATCATTAATTTGTGTTTATTGAATAAATCTCAAGTCATAATATATTTTATATTTATGTAAATCTTAAGCTTACTAATACTACTATACTCTATCGTTAAGTAATACGATCTTATTGCTGACCTAGATAATATAAGGCAAAACAATATGATACTAAAAGGTACAAAATAATTGTAAACATAACTAACAATATATTACACAAATCGTTGAATACTGAAACATCACATTAAACTGTTTAAAAAGGGTTCAATTCTACAGATCTTTAAACATGTTATATAATACAATCCTAACACTAACTAAATTCAAATATCAAGCGCTTTAAACTGACCCTACAGCTTTGTTTTCAATTAAGCTAAGCTGTACGTCTTTGTCACTGGTCTTGATTCCCTTAAATGTATTCTCTATATCTATCAGGGTCCTGTCTTTAGTTTCTGGTAACAGCACGTACATAATGCATAAACAAATTGTCAATGTTGTCGAGTAGACTAGAAATGCACCTTGGACTCCTATCGTTGAGTATAAATGAGGAGCCGTCTTCATAGAAATAACAAAAGCTGGAGTCAAGAACGATGTGGATAGAGTGGAGCCTAAACTTCGATAAGCTAATGGGAAAACTTCACCACAGATAACCCAATTCAACGGTACAATTCCCAAACAGAACGACAAAGTGTACGTTATCATTAATATCATGGGAAACGTATCTAGTAACCAGGGTGCTTTTATGAATCCAGCGTTTCTTATATACATAAATACCGAAATCATTGTCATCGAAGTAACAGTCATGATGCCACTTACAAACAAAATTGTCCTCCTCTTGAAGTTTTTGAGCAGGAATATAGCGAGAAATGCGCAAATTGTTCTTAAGAAATCTATCACAGTGAATTGCCAAGTTACATCAGTTAGATGCTCCTTATTCAGAACGGCTTGCAAAATAACATTACCATAAGCTGCTAGCATATGAGCACCACCAAATTCAAAAACTATAAGCATGCATATAGCTACAATCGACGGCTTGAAAAACTCTTTCTTCTTGAATATTCTTAATACGCTCTTAAACGAATTAAGCATATATCTCGTTACATTGAGATTTCTAGAAGCCACCTTCTTCTCATTTTTCGTATCTTGTAATTCCTTATGTTGCGTTTCTAACATTTTCTCAAACTCTTCGCTTTGCTCAATACCATCACCACGGATCCAACTGAACGCTTTTTTGGCGTCGTCAAACCTGGATTTGGATACTAACCAATACGGAGATTCCGGGGAGAAGCTTATGATGATCATAGATATTATAGGAAACATGGAACAGACTATAGCTGTGTGCTTCCAAGATAGATATGCTCCCCAAACATGTGACAGCATGATACCAAGGCCTAAAGATATGGCAAAAGTCCCCAAAAATGCGCCCCTGTATCTTGGTTCTGTGTATTCAGCTACTAGAATAGCAGCTAAGGGTGTTCGTAGACCTAATGCTAGACCATGAAGAAATCTAGCAATAAGAAACATAGGTACTGAGTTTCCGAAGATAAATATGATCCAGCCGAGTAGAGCGGGTATTGTGGAGATAAAATGCGATTTTTGCCTTCCGAGTTTTGACATGAACACGGGAGATATGAAGTTTCCGACGATTCCCATGAGGCCTACTGATGATGCTGGAATATAAGATTAAGTTATTAGAGATATTTTAAGGTTAAGGAGGTCTTAAGGTTGTATGTCTGTTTGGTAGACTTTGAACATTTAAATTGACCTAATAAGATCGTAAGGTAATTGCCGAGCCAGACAGAAAGATATATAAAAAAAAAAATTCGTGAATTAAAAGGGCCCCACAAGTTATAGAAAGTTAAAGTAAAACTTTTAAAATTTGGATTTGATAAAATTGACTGTGTCTTACCAATCCAAGAAGTATCATGGTCAGTCAGTGTTACAGGTCCTCCGTCTCTTATTAGTTGAGCAAACAGGACAGCTGGGTAGCCATGGGCGCAGCCATGACCGACTATGTTAAGGGCGGCGCCGGAAACCACGAAAGCCTGGAATTTAAAGAAAAACGTATTAATAGGAGGCATATAGTAAATTATTTTATATGTCGCTACTTAAATAAGTCCCAATTTAAGTTTAATGAAAAGAAAAAAACATTCTTATATAATTAAATTAAAATTAGGTATACATTTTATTTATTTATTTATATAATAAATCTTAAAATTTAAAAGTGCAATAAACCTTTTAAAAAAAAGAATTCACAATTTTATAAAAGTTTTATTAATTGAGTATTTTTTGTTTGTTTGTTTGTAATTGATTTTGCTAACAAATGTAGTAATAGTAAGCCACTAAGCCACAGCCAGGGCATTAAACATATCATATTTTATTTATACGTGATCGCGTCTGTAGCTAAATTGGTAATCGTATTGCCTAATCATTGTTTTGCGAGGCTCTTTTATTGTATCTCGGGACACGGTTAGGTCGGGCCAGGCAACAGAAGTCTGTCAACTACATACTTGTATGTTTTTGCCCCACATCCCACTGGAGCTAGCCGGGATTTCACATAAATTTCTCGAAGAAAGTATACATATTACGTATCAGTTTTGTCGCAAAAGGACGTACGAGTACAATTATCGCCTGTCTAATTTACCGCGTAGCGTTGGTATTGCAAACCTATTTTTACAGGCGTTTATTTTTACAAAAACTGATCTTAATCTGGATGGATATTAAATACTGTCTATAGTTTACGCGAGTAGTACAAATTTAAATAAAACACTTTAACGGTTTAAAACGCGATATATTAGTTAAACTTATTTGAAAATGATTTTTAACTTCGGCCCGACGTTTCGGATGCTTTGTAGCAGCCGTGGTCACGGGGAGACTAAATATGGAGGATGTCTCTGACGTCAAAGTAAAAAATTGCTACGCTAACGCCATCTGTTCCGTCGAAGTTGGTATTTGGCGAAACTGGCCGCGTCCTTACAGAATTGACTGACGGTGTCTTTGCGTTTGCTGGTATGCTGTTTATTGGGATCCAGAGTTTTTAATATGGGATCCCAGGTGTTAGATAGTTTGAGGCCGTCCTCCCGTATTGAAATTTCGGTGTTTTTGTGAAACGTCGGGCCGAAGTTAAAAATCATTTTCAAATAAGTTTAACTAATATATCGCGTTTTAAACCGTTAAAGTGTTTTATTTAAATGGATGGACATTATTTATGATTATTTTATTAATAAAAATGATAAATCTTTTTAATTGGCATTGATCTTGCCAAGTATTGTTCTCGTAAATAATAATAATAAATAATTAAAATGAAAACAAAATATAAAATGCATGATAAAAATAAAATAGCCTTGCCACCACTAGAAGTTATGCTGCATTGCTGATTTTCAGCAAAACCTTGCTGTTTATCGGTTAGTATCGCGTAATTTATGGATAAAGAAATGAATGGAGCGAATTACCTGTTTCAAAAATGTCGTCATATTTCTTGACTACATGTAGACCTGGACTCTGAAATACAAACATTAAATTAAATCTTTCTGCAGGGCGTAGTTAAACATAACTTACATATGTCGCGTTTTAAACCGTTGAATAGTTTTTTTTATTGCAGCAGTGCCTCATAATTAATTTTTATTTGTTTTTCATCGACGGTTGCCTAGAAGAGATCGCTCTAAAGCGATTAGGCTGCATTTGGCCTGTATAATATCTATTGCTTCTTTCATTTGTTTTCTTTATGATTTTGGTTCTTGAGTTAGGTTTATGTTAAAATAATAATTAAATGGATACGTATGTAACGCGAGTATTTTATTTTAACGACAGTTTAAAATAAAATCAGTAAGACTATTTGATATAAAGACACAGATTGAAGCACACCATATTTCAAACTGTCTAACGTATGTTTAAAACACGGTAAGTCAGACTCGTTGTAGAGACAAGCTTTAATTTTGCATTCTTTGCCTTACCCAAAAACAAATATTAAGCAATGTATGTATGTAATTGGTTATTTTTAGACGAGTTGAAGTTTGTCTCAAGTTAACGTAATCGTTTAACGTACTTATGTTATAGTAAACATGTTTAAAGCTTCACTTTTTTGTTCAATGCTTGTTACCAGGCAAAGTTGAAGCTCTGTCCACGAAATTTACTTATTTAAGAGAATGGTAGCCAACATACATTAGTTATTATACACTTCAAACTGTTTAAACGCCATATAAATATATTTATTGTAACCACAGCAAACATTCGTGGTCTGGGGGACGAAGCAAAGCAAAGTTTTGTAGAAGCATTCGAAACGTCGGGCCGTCGTTTATTTCAAGTTTAAAACCGTTAAAACTGTTTTATTTTAATTACTACGTTAGCTACAGATAATATCAAAATCAAATTACTTTATAATGTGTCCTGTGTGTTAAACATGGTCCCGATACATTCGTTTGTTTACGACAGATAAAGACAACCTGGTGGTTCTCTCTATGTAAATGTACCCAACTGCCTACCTATTAGGATATGCTGTTCAGTCCACCTATTTTAGTAAAGGATAGTCGAACATACACTGACTTAATCCAAAACTCCGATTTAGGTACTCATCACGGCTTTGGTTCGTGACCACGACTAAATTTCGGTATTTCTATAAATACTTACCTCTATTGTGGAAAATATGCAGAGTATACAAATAAGACAAAGTTGGCAATCGAACCCGCGCTGGTTAAAAATCATATCGCAACTTAATTGAATTATTACTTTTATATTTTGGAGAAATTGTAAATGTTGGAACGCTTTTAACTCGTTTATGTTTGTTTTGCGAAGAGTATTGTTTTTTAATCAACAAGGCCTACAACAGAACGAGTACAATTCAAAACAATTATTCAATTTATAATTGATTGTTATCGCTTAATCTATTATTATAACAACTTTGTCCTTAAAGGGACTGAAGCCTGTATTAACATAATTACGTAATGAAAAATTATTACAAACAATAGGTTTTGTACGCGTAAATGTACGAATCGTGTTGCAAACTATGAGAGTGAATAATAAGTGAAAAACGTCACTAGCGAGAAGTATTCCTCGCTTATAAATTCTTCAGAGACTTCAATTGATGGAAGGCGATAAACCCTAGCCATATAACATCTCAATAAGATCTAAATAAAACATTTTAACGGTTTAAAACGCGATATATTAGTTAAACTTATTTGAAAACTTCAGCCCGACGTCTCCCCGTGACCATGGCTGCTGTAAAGCTGAAATACTATTGCGATTGTTTCTATTTTATTGCAGTTAAAATTATTTATAAAGTTTCCCCAGATATCAATCTTAAGACCTTTGGCGTATTGTTAGTTAGAAATGTCTGTAGTTAACCCGAATAAGAAAATTTCGCATTTAACGGTTCAAAACGTGAAATGTATTAGTTAACTATGCTTTGCTATTTGACCATGGCCGTCACAAAGCACCCGAACGTCGGGCCATGGTAAAAATAAATATAAAATATATTAAATAGATACAATTTCGCGTTTCGAAGCGATACAAAAAGATGTGTTTTATTTTCAAATTCAATTTTTGTTCGCTCAGTATCAACAAAGTTTAGTTTTACTTTTAATTTAATTTACATTTTTATTTACTAATTTAATGTAGATACTGAACTTATGGAGTTTTATCGAATGTTGTCAATCTATCAAATATTATCTGTGTCAATAAGAATCAATGGGTTCGATTCCACACTGGGAACAAAGGCGGCCGTTTTGCAACGATGCTCCATTCTGCATTATTTACGACCATTATTGGATAATGCAAATGTTGCAACAGAATTGTCAGACACTGTCATTCAATTGGCGTAATTTTTCGAGACTTTGACCGCTCTGAAGTGTTAACAGTTGTATAATGTACTTGCACTTCTAATAGAAATGCCATTTGCTTACATAATATTATATTTCTTATTTACTTTCGTATCTTAGTGGTTAAACGCATTGCGTAACAGCGGTAGGTCCAGGTTTCGGATACCGGGTAACAAAGACTATAGCTGAAGAGTTTGTTTGTTTGTTTGAACGCGCTAATCTCAGGAACTACGGGTTCGAATTGAAAAAATATTTTTGTGTTGACATGCGCTGTGACTAATAGAAGCGAAGATACAGCGGGAAATGTGAACAAAACGGGGGATTTTTTCATCTCTGTGGGTTTCATATGCGTAGACTGCGAAAACGGTTCAAATACCCCAAAAATATGTATGAAGGAATGTTTTCTCATTAAGTGATCTGGAAAAATGTCCGCGATACGATATGTCTATCTTTTAAGATTAACTTGCAAGAACGACGGTACGCACCGACTGCATGGGTAACAGTTTAAACTCATAAAGAACACAAATTTGTTGACGAAGTCGCTGACACAGCTAGTCAATTACAAATTTAAAAAATGTACAATTCGAGCAAGACTTGTACCGGCAGTCCTAAACGTCATCGTCGATTTTTTTGAATTCTCTCGCGCGATGTAATTTCAACCTTAATACTTGCTAATTAATTTGTATAGTGCCGTCACATGCAATAAACATGTGAAAAATATTAAAGTTTACAAACAATATTGACCTAGATAACAGATAGAGAAGAAATTTTTAAATTGTATAAATACCATTGTATTTGTTCTTTGTACGCAGAGCAATTCCGCAGCCTTGATCATAACATCACGATTTGTCACGCACAGCTTCCTTTGCAAAATCCATTACCGACGGAGGAAATAGATAGAGAACACAAATAGACAAACATCGCAAAAAGTTTTCTATTACTTTACTTGGAAACGGCAAATTACAATCGTTAAGTAGACATGTTTCGTTTCAATGGTGACCTGTGCCTACTTCTGGTCGCTGGTCTCCCCATCATGGTATTTCAAATCAATGTATAATTTTTCTGAAACATGTTTGACTTCGTCTGGAAATCCGGATGTTAAATGGGCGGTAGGTATATCGAAATTCTCGTCCAGGTCCCAAACCAAATACACAATAAAAAGATTCAGTTTTATACCCGTTTCGGTTTCAGTCTGGGATTTCCAAATGTCCAAAGTCAAAAATCAATAGCGCATCTTGTTTGGATGTATAGGCTACGATATTTCACCAAACTATCGAATGATATATACTATCAATTGTCCTTGACAGAATTAAGACCCACATACGTGTCCAGTTGGGTTGGTGGACCTAATTAAGATACTAAATTACATCCCCGATTAACTTTTTGCAACTTCAAAGGTCTCTGACTTCCGAAAATATTTTCAGGACTTTTATGGAATTCACTAAAAATAAACTCTGTTTTAAAGACAACCTGATTCTTTATTATTGGGCCATGGGGTAAACCCGTGGCTGTATTATATTTCTCGGAAATCCTCGAATTTGTTCAGCTTGTTTGTTAACGATTTTCTCTGTATTTAGTATAGCAAAGACAACGAAAACGAGGTGGTTAAAAATAGTCGATTGACCACCACACATTTAATATCTAGAGCCAGACGCAGTTCAATTTCTTTCATAAAATGACTAGATACATGTCTCCCGTGGGGATCGAATCCTCGAGTCGTTGATTACTACAATTGATATAACAATAGATTTAAATAAAACAATTTAACGGTTTAAAACGCGATATATTAGTTAAACTTATTTGGAAATGATTTTAAACTTCCCGACGTTTCGGATGCTTTGCAGGAGCCGTGGTCATGGGGAGACTGATATAACAATAGATTGTTACTTTTAAACTAACTAGGTATATCTATATGTCAGTGTATACTTAGTCATAGAAAGTCTTTAAAAAAGAGAAGATTAAACATCTCTTATAAATAAAAAAAGACTTCAAGTGAACATAGTATTAACACATCTCTAGGCGATCTTGATTAATGGAACATCAATTTATAGTCGTCTCATTCGTCTCAGTTCAGACCAGAAATAAGATTTTTTTTCAATCACGTAAACTTATTCAGTTGAACGATTTCCGTGTCACTTCTGTAGTTAATTGAAATAATTTTTATCGACTGTTAAAAACGGAAGGCCTTGAAATTTTAATCATAATTTTTCCAATATCCAATTCCTTCCTAGAAGTTCTTTTTCTTGTGTTGAAAAACTAAATAAGACCGGCGTTAGTTCAATTGGACTTATAAGAAATATTATATAGAAGGATTACTATGTGCCTACTTACAATTTTCCGTATTATCCAAACTAATATATAAAAAGAGCTGAAGAGTTTGTTTGTTTGTTTGAACGCGCTAATCTCAGGAAGTACGGGTTCGAATTGAAAATTTCTTTTTGTTTTGGTTAGAGCATTTATCGAGGAAGGTTATAGGTTATACACATTGCGATATGACTAATAGGGGAGAAGTTATAGCGAAAAATGTGAACAAAAGGGTAAAATTTTCATCTGTAGGTTTCAGATGCGTACCTGCGAAAACTGTTCAAGATACCTGAAATTGTGTATGAAAGAGTGATTCCCCTTTAAATGTCTATCTTTTAAGGTTAACTTGCAAGAAC